CCCCCCCGACACTGTCCCTGGAAAGGCAGAGAGACCCTCGGCCCAGTGGAGGCGGGGGAGATCCGGCTGCCCCTGAGTCTTCTCCAGCCCCCTTCCTCATTGTCCCGATCAGTTCAAGTGCTGCAAAACTCCTGACCGCCCCTCAAACCCCTGCAAGAGATGCTGTGTTTGAGGGGGAGCTCGTATGTGGCTTTGCTCACCCACCCCACAGCACCCAGGCTGGTCCCTGGGGTGCTGCGGAGCCCTCCTGCCCACACACCCTGTGCTGTCCCTGCAGCCCGTCGTGCTGCTCTCTGCATCTTGTGCCTGGCCTCTGGTAGCAGCTAGGACTTAAATCCCAACCCTTCGGCTCCCGAAGCTCAGGAGGAGGGACTGTTTTACACTGTTTTTAAAGCCTGTTGTCTGCCCTTAAGTCTTACATCAGGGGTTTCGGCTGGTGTTAGTGGGCTTGCTGGCAGCCCAGGCAGCTGAGGTCTGTGAGCAGGGCCTGAGTGTGGTTCTGAGGAGGAATTTCTCTTTGCTCATGCCGCAGGGAGCCAGTGGCTCTTCTGTGCTGCTGAGCGCTGTGTGGCAGCTGCTGTGACCGGGATAAACTGTTGTTCCTTTGCAAGGTTGCTTTGCATAAGGGCTTCTGCTCTGCTGCTGGCCGCAGGTGTTTGCCTATGAGAGATTAGATCTCTGAGCAGCAGCCAGCTGGGCAGGGGGGCAGGCAGGGGACAGGCAGCCCTCAGCCTCTCCTCTGAAAGCTGAAGGGTCTCTTGTGGGAAATGGCTTGAAAGGGGGCTGATTGAGCTGGTGCAAAGATGTCTCAGAAGGCAAAAGGGGTTTATAAATCTGGGGTTTCTGAGCACAACGAGTGTCCCAAGAGCAAGGTGAGGGATAAAAGGATGATTGGAGAGGAATGTCATTCAGAGGGTGATCAACATATGGTGTGCACAGATGGGGAGGCTGGCGGGGAAGGGACAGCCATGAGCGGCAAGGGAGCCCAGCTCCCCACTGGGCAGGGGGAGAAGGGAGCAACGCCAGTGCAGGGGTTTTTTTCCTTTCTCCAAGAGGAAAAAAAGCAGTAAATTGTGGCAGCCCTTGGAAGGACGAGTGCGAAGTTTGCTTTTCCTGTCGCAGGCTCTACCTGTGACACAGCCAGTGGGTGCCCTGCCCCTCTCGAAGCTGCCGCAGAGTCCCACTTGTTGTGTCTGTTCACCTCCTGCTCAGGTATGAAGCCAGAGCAGGGGCTGATCCATTCCTGTCCTCTCTTTCCCTCCCCAGAACTCCTCGGAGATGCCAGAGACCATTACCAGCCGAGACGCTGCTCGTTTTCCCATTGTTGCCAGTTGCACCCTTCTGGGGCTCTACCTCTTCTTTAAAGTAAGTGAGCAGTGTCAGCGGGTGCTGGAGCCAGTGCCTGCCATCCTCCCTGTCTGGTCAGGAGCTCCCAAAGTGGGGCTGAGTCGAGTTTTGGCCCTTAGTGTTGGGACAGAAAGTGTGTAAGGCTGCATGGCTTGAGCCCTTTGGTGTCACCACGCAGGAGGACGTCAGTTCTCGCCTGAACTGTCACAGCTTGGGGGAAATCAGAGCCTGTTTGTGCACAAGTTGGTTCTGGACAGCTGCCAAGGGGTGAGTTCACCCCTGAGCTCTGCCTGCCTCCACGGGGTGACCTGATGGTGCATGGACTGAAACCAGAGGGTGCCAGGGACTGCTGAGTTGCAAATGCTTCTGTCTCTGTGTTGTGCCCCGTGCTGTGCTTCTGAAGCTGTCTTGGCTGCAGGCCTGGGGGATTGCTAGCTCATGGGTGAGCCCCTGTGTGTTCAGGTGAAGTCTTTTAGACATGCAGAGCCAACAAGTAGAGTTAGATGACCATTCCTGAGTCACAGATAGGAGATCCCAGCAGCAGGTGCTTTCAGCTGTGTGGAGAAGGTATCTTCACTTAAAGCACCTTTGGCTGCCCACACACGTCTGGTGTGCGGCTGAGCTTCTGGAGGGGCCTGATGAGCTGTGGGGTTGTCAGCGCAGAGCGGTCCTCTCGACACAGTGGCTTCCAGCCCCACTGTCCTGGGCTGCCTGCGAGGTGTCAGGGTGCTCCTGGCTGGCCAGGTGAGGTTTAAGGTGCAAAGTTGGGAATATTGCAGTTTACAGGCCCTTCTCTGCCCACCACAGTTACTGCGCAGCAGCCGACTGACACTGTGGGCTCCTACCCTGGGTCGAGCAGCTGTGTGGGCTGACAGCCATGCTGTGCAGCTCCTTACACCAGCGTGGGCCCGGGCACCGGCTCATGCTGCGGCTGCACCAGGAAGGCAAGTGCATGCCTCAGCCTGCTCAGCCGCAGAGGTCAGCTCTGCAGCAGCAGACAGGATCAGGCCTCCCTAGCAATATGCCCTGCTTTCCCAGCAATGAAGTTTAGCCTGTGTGCTCACTGGGGCTGCAGCTCCTCTTTTAGGTCACCAGTAGTAAAGCTGAGCATCTGCTGAGCCTCTCCTAATGGTGAGGTATGGAGCAGCCACCAGACCCTGCTGCTGGGCCCCTCTGGCCACTGAAAGGACCCCCAGCAGCCTACCCCTTCTTTGTGGCCCATGTCTCAGGGTACTCTTCCATCTCCTCAGGTGCCTTTTCTGCCTCTTGCTCCTGGCTGGGATGGAGGCACCAGGAAAAGAAAGTACTGAATGTGCAGCGTGGCCCCGCTGAAGTCGCTGCATGATCGGCAGCTCTTCCTTTTAATATCTGCGATCTGCCATGAGCTCTTGTATTCCAGCATCCCCCTTCCAGGAGAGCATGGAGGACCATGGGGTCCCCCTGTGTTGGGCTGTAGGGGTGTGATTTGGCAGTAAGGCAGCGTGTGCGTTGGAGGACAGGATTTCTAATAATACCTGGTTTAATTAGGGCAGGATGCGCTCGGCCCGCTGCAGTAGTGAGGTGGGGGTGCTGCTGCTCCCCTCTGCTGGGGCAGCCCTCGGGAGTGGCACAGTGCCTCACTCCCTGCTCTGGCTCACTCTGCAAGGGACACGCAGGGGAAGCTCTGTCCTCCTTTCTGAAGCACAGGAGTTATTTTTTGACCTGAGCAGCTCATAGATGTGCGACAGCTCGCAGGCCCACTGTGCTTGTTCTGCAAGCACATGGCTATTTCCAACATATATCCCATCAGCAGTGCAAGAATTTGGGTTATTCCAGCTTTTCTCATCTCCCTGGAGCACTGACACAGCAGCTGCTAATGGAAACATGAAGTGCTGTAGATGGGGAGGATGCTGCGGTAACTAACCCCTTTCTGGATTTGTCTTGCAGATATTCTCTCAAGAGTACATCAATCTTCTGCTTTCCATGTATTTCTTCGTGCTGGGGATCCTCGCCCTGTCCCACACCATCAGGTACAGCAGAGGGAAGGGTGCGACTGGGGCAGGGGTGTCCAAGGCTTCCCGCTCTGCGAGGCAGCGGGGCATTGAGTTTATTGGGGGCTTTCTAGAGCACCATTGCCTTGAAGCAGAGCCAGGTCCCAGCTCTTGGGGTGCTGTTCCTTGGCAGTGTGAAGGGCCCAGAGCATGCTGTGAATCCTTCCTTGTGGGGGAACCAAAGTCTCGGGGGTCCCGGCAATTCGGTACCTTGTACAGCATCACTGGGAGAGCTCGTGGAAGTGTGGGTGGCCGCCATAATGGGACAAGGCCAGCTCACCCTGAGGAGCTGTTATGGCTTGGCACAGTCCTTGCTGCCCTGTGGAGGGGAGAGCTCCTCGGCACCCGTGTTCCCCTTATTGGGACGGCTGAAACAGGCAGCTGGAGCTCACGATAACGTCCCTGGCCTCTCACGCTGATGCTTGGTATGAGGTGTTGAAAGCTCAGGCTGTTTCAGTAACTGAAAAAGTAAAACTGGTTTCCTGTTTCCTGAGCTCTAGGGTGTTGGGGACCAGATGCTTTCCCTAGACCGGTGCTGGGTAAGGGCTTTGTCTCCATTCCCGGCTCTGCAGGAGAGCTGTTCAGTGGTGGCCCAGCCAGTTCTGGGTGCCTAGGGGGCTGCTGGGGGGCACAGGGTGCATGCTGGTGTCTGGAGCGGGTTCTTCCTTCTTGCGAGTGATGCTCTGTGCCTGTTGCCCTAGAGCATTTTGGGGGACTGTCACATATGGGCACATCAGACCTTTGGGGAGGACGAGGTCCCATATCTGCAGCTTGGTGACTGAAGCTGGGGCACCTGCAAGTCTCTGATGTGAAACCTGGCGTTTCCATGTCTCGGGAGGGGGTGTGGGCCAGCATCCGTTCTGTGACGCCATCACGCAGAGGTGCTGGGCAGTGCATCCTGCGGGGTTTATGTTGAGCTGCCCTTGTCTACACCTCTCGTTTCAGCCCCATGATGAACAGATTCTTCCCTGCAAATTTCCCCAACAAACAGTACCAGCTCCTTTTCACCCAAGGCTCCGGGGAAAGCAAGGAGGGTACGTTGGCTCGCCAATCTCTCTGGGGGCCTGCATGTTTTCTGCCTTTACTGTTGTGGGTTTTGCTCACTTGGTGTTTTGACTTTCAGCCCGTTGAAATAACCTTCTTAAAGACTTGCCTTTTGCTCCCCTCTGTGCTTCTGTAGCCAGTGAGCCCTGCATGTCTCTGCAGAGCTGGGGCTGCTGTGTGCATCTTCTTGCACTGGCTGGCACTCTCCCTCTCTGCTGCCTCTGGCTGGCAGGGAAACCCCAGAAACAAATCCCAGAGTGCTATAGGAATGGAGCTATGGCTGCTGTTAAATGCACTGTCTGTGTTTAAGCTCCTCAGGTAGCACAGTACTGACTTTTTGTGTGCTGCCTTAACTGATCTGATTCAAATCTTTGCACTGGTAGAAGATGCTTTGATAAGCATCCTGCCCAGTAGCTTTACTGGTAAAGGAATACTACTTCTAGTGATAACACCAGGAGTTAACTGGTGCAAGAGGGAGAAGGTTTGCCTCTCCCTGCCTTAGACAGTGCCTGAATCCAATTTCCTTATTGACAGAAGGATCGCAAATGCTGTCCATGTGGCAGAGTCTGGCTGAAGGAGAAGGTCCGGGCTTGCCAGGGCCGGCTGCTTGCTCGCATGCAGTTTGCACGTGTTTACCATGGGCATGGCCATTTCTGTGGGTACAGTCCCCTTGTTTGGGACATGGGCGCTGTGGTCTGTGTTGCTCCCCAGCTGTGAAGTCACTCTCACTTCCCTGCGCAGAAGGGGAGCTGCCCAGGCTGCCCAAAATCTGACTTCTCTTTTTTATTGCAGAAATAGTGAATTACGAGTTTGACACCAAGGATCTTGTGTGCCTGGCCCTGAGCAGTGTTGTGGGGGTCTGGTACCTGCTGAGAAAGGTAAGCACACCACAGCCCTGTTGCAGGGAGGCCGGGGACCAGGCTGGATCAGACGCAGGCCCCTTTCCACACAAGGCCTCTGCAGGCTGAGGCCGTGGCTTGGCATATGCAGTGGGACCCAAATCTCCTTTTCCTGTTGTTCTCAGCACTGGATTGCCAACAATCTCTTTGGGCTGGCTTTCTCTCTCAACGGGGTGGAGCTGCTGCACTTGAACAACGTCAGCACTGGCTGCATCTTGCTTGGGGGCCTCTTCATCTACGACGTCTTCTGGGTAAACGGGAGCATTCCCCGGGGCGGACGCGAGTTGCAGCCATTGGCGGAAGGCATGTGCGTGGCGTTATGCCTCTTCAGAGGCAGCACGCTGGCTGGACACACGTTTGCAGTCAGGATTTCCACTTTCTCAGCCCAAAGGGGTGTGGTGGGGATGATGACGGAATCAAACAGTGGCAGAACATGGCTCAGCAAATGCATTTTCTTTTAATCTCTGCCTTGGAGAGCCCAGGGCTGGCAGTGATCTCGTCAGGGCTGTTGTGGGGTACCCAGGTGTGTGGCATATCCAGTTATGGTGACCTGTATTTCCCACTAAGGTCTTCCCAATGCCTGACAGAGCTGCTGGGTGGGCTGGAGGACGAGGCTGCTCTGGCGTATGCTGATCCAGCTTGTATGAGCTGTGCCTCTTTGTCATCTGCCAGCTTTGTTAGCGTCCTGTTCTCTTGCACAGAGGACCAAACACTGGAATGCCTCCAGTCTCTTTCCCTCAGCCAATGCAGTGCCCCGACATCTTAATTTTGAGGTTTTCCTTATCTCTCTGCAATGGGCCTGGATGCATGTTTCTCCTTGTAATGTCTGTATTCCCCAGTCCTTCCTGCAGCCTCTACCTTCTGAATTACTGTGTTTCCAAATGTCTGACAGCCTTGTATTACCTTGAGGTCTGTCCAGCAGCTTTGCAGCTGCCTCAGTAATCCTTTCCTATTTAAGCCTGGCTACTGTATGTTATTTTGTACTTGGCCCGTGCTACCCCTGTTTCACGGGCTCGTTAACAGTCTCAGCTGTGTGCTTCATTAGCCTGTGTGCCACTTCCTCTGCTGCTTTCAGCTGGAGAAGATTCAGCCTTCTGGCTTAGCCCACCCAGTGCCTCATGCTCTGCTCAGGGTGTGAGTAACTTCCCAGTGCTTCAGAGACAGCAAGAGTGCAACCCTTGCTGCTCTCCGCTTGCCGGCTGTCTCCTGCCTTGGCTTCCCTGGCAGGTCAATGTATTGCTGGAGCCTCACAGAAGGGCCGTCTTGAAGTGGAGACCCTCTTGCTGCGCCCCTCTGCAGGGACTGGTCACTTGGATCTTAGCATGGATTTAATCAGAGTGAGATCCAAGGAGGGTTTCAAGGAGGAAGGAGAACTGCTCAGTGGATCGATGATATTGCCCCCTGCAGAGTCTTGGGGTGAATTTGCATGTGACGATTTTCCCTGGTCCCAGTGTGGAGTCCTGTCACTCCATGGCGATGCCCAGAGCTTGCTGCACCTTGTGGGAGTTAATCTGATGCCCAATGCTTGCTTTAACATTTCTCTTTAACTCCTAGCTCTAGGATCTTGCTCACCTGGTGCTGACCAGCACCTGGTTTATGTGCCTGCTGCTGGTATAGCCAAGACTGGAGGCTTGGAGATGAAAAGGAACAGAAATAAGGGTGGTTGACCTATGTGTTTACAGTCCATCCCCCAAACGATGCCAGTATTTAAAGCTGATAGTGCAGTACAAATAAATGACCTCAGAGCAAAATGCAGCTGATCCGAGAATTGCTCCAGTCCCTGTTGGAAGCTCACAGGCAGCAGCCTGGCACTGGCTGGGACTCTCCACTGGGAACTCCTGCCCTCAGATAACATCCTGCGCGGTGGTCAGGCTTTCCGCTGAGTTGACTAATTAGAGCTGAACCAACCTGCAGGGGTAGGTGCTGGGGAAGGCTGGGTGGTGGGCAGCACTGCAGCCCTGTGATGTGAGCAGTCTCTCTGGTGCTGCTCTGAAAGCAGGACGACTGTGATGTGCTCCCTGCCTTGAGCACTGTCCTGTGCTTTCTCCCCTGGGTGGTGGGCTCACTTGCAGGACTCCTCTGCCCGCAGTTCAGCGGCTCTTTGGCTGTTTTCTGTCACTGAGGCCACTCCGGGCCCCGAGGTGATGTAGCTGAGCATGTGTGTGTGTCCCTGTGCAGCTGTGGTCATCCCGGACTCCTCTGCTTGCCCCTAGGTGTTTGGCACCAATGTGATGGTGACAGTTGCCAAATCATTTGAGGCCCCGATAAAACGTGAGTAGATCTTCCCCATGTGCTGGAGGAGGGGCTGTCCGTTGTGCTGCGGTTGCTGCCCTGTACATCCTCCACCTTCTGGCGATGGCTCAGAAGGTGGGATGTGTGCAGGAAGGTTTCCTGCTAGTGACCCCTTAGACTGCTGGATGGTGTCACTGACCTGCAGGGAGCGGGCCAGGTCTCTGGAGAGGGATGATTTGTAGAGCCCTGGGTTAGTCTGCACCCCCAGAGCGGGCAATTTAACATGCTCATTAAAAAAAAAATCCCAGCAAATCAAAACATCCAAAAAAACAGCGGGAGGGGTGAATTTCTGCTGTTGTGGTGCATGCAGTCGTTTGGGTCCTGGGAGCTGGGGCTGAAACCTGCACATGGGGCTGGCCCCAAACCCCTTGGTTTCCCTTCCAGAGCTGTCCCAGGAAGGAGAACAAGGGGAGCTGCAGGAGAGGAGGGGGACAGGGGTCTTGCCCTGCTCCGGTCCCTTTTTGCCACACACAGTGGTGCTGAGGTCTGCTCAGCAGAGACACTCTTCCCTCACTGTTCCTCCCTCTGCTCCTTGTAGTGGTTTTCCCTCAGGACCTGCTGGAGAAGGGGCTGGAGGCTGACAACTTTGCCATGCTGGGTCTGGGAGACATTGTCATTCCAGGTGAGGACAGAAGAGGGGGGACATGACCAGGATTGCCTGTCTGAACAGGCTGCGGGGAGCTGAGTGGGTTGCCTCACTCTGCCTTTGGCCATGCCAGAGCCCTGTGGGCCTCCTGCTGGGGCTGGGGGCTGCGTGGACTGGGGGGGGAGGTGTCTCCTACCAGGTCCTGGTGCTGTCCCTGTGCCTTGTGCCGCGAGAGGGCACTGTCAGCCCAGGCACGGCACCCGGAGCCGCTGCGGGTCCTGCCGTGCCTCGCTCGGCCTTCCCTACGACCTCCATCCCCTCACTGTCCCCTTCTCCCTGCAGGGATCTTCATTGCCTTGCTGCTGCGGTTTGACATCAGGTGAGTGGGCGGCAGGGAAGGCAGGTTGGATCTTGCAGCATATTTGAGCTGCTTTTGTAGAGGAAAAGGGGAAGGGGAAGCCAGGAGCACAGTCGTGTGCTCCCCTCCGGGGCTTGGCGTGGGGACCCGGGATTGCGGCTGGGATGGGGGGTGCAAGGGGAAGCTCTTGGAAGAGTAGAGGTGAGAAGGGCTGGCTTTGTGGGTGAGTCCTGAGCACTAGGGTCGAGTTGTTTGAGCTCACAGGCGTTGCTGTATGGATGGCAGGGCAGGCAGCACATAACAGCCCCACAGAGCCTCACTGGCTCCCTGGCACTGGAGAGGGCAGTGCTGCTCTGCTACGGCAGTGAGGGGAAACAACAATGGTGTGGGAAAGAGCATGGGGTGCTGGCACCTGAGAAGTGTTTGCGTGGAAGCAAATCGGTGCGTGGCAGTGCTGGCTGCCTCTGGGTTGCCACTGATGTTGGGAGAAGCAGCTCCTTCCTATGCAGGGAAGCTGCACCTACTGCTGGGGTGTAGCTTTCAGCAGTTGCCCCACACCAAAAGTCTCCGGCTGGGGAGCTGCCAGGAATGGGCTGCTTCATGCGACTCCGGTGGTGTGGCCCTGCTCCCGCTGCTGTTGCACAGACCTTCCAGTCTGTGCCAGCTCTTCCAGGTGTTTCCACCCACATCCTGCCTGCACCTGCTGGGAATCCCAGTTCCTGCAGCCTGCCCTGCAATAAAACAGCACGTGCTGAGAGCGGGGTGCCAGGGACCGGCTGTGCCTCCCTGGAGAAGGTGGGACCCTCTCCTTGGGTCCCAGCACCGATTCCTCCCCCCGAGTAGCCATCCAGCAAGCACGATCGTGCACCTCCTTCCCTTCCCCAGCCCCTCACCTGGGCGTCACCCCATCCAGTCCCACACTCCTTCCATGGGACCTGGGGCTGTGCTGGTGACAGTCTCTGTGCTGGCTCGAAAGCACGGGCAGAGCACGGCTCCCTGTGCCCCAGCGTGGTGGGAGATGGGGCACTTAGAGCACTGGGCCAGCTCCATTTCGGCCACTGGCATCCCAGACCTGAGGTCACTGGGCTCTGCTCCCTTTCTCTACAGCTTGAAGAAGAACACGCACACGTATTTCTACACCAGCTTTGTGGCCTACATCTTTGGGCTGGGCCTGACCATATTCATCATGCACATCTTCAAGCACGCCCAGGTGAGCTCCGCTGTGCTGCCTCCCGCAGATGCACGTCCCAAGTGGGACATGCCAGTTTGGCCACGAGGTTCCTGCATCATGCCAGGAAAAAGTAGATGCATTCCTTCTCTTGGCTTTGCTTTTCCAATGCCTGCCTGTACCTTGCCCTGCCCAAAGCTTGTGTGCCTGGCTAGAGCAGAGTCCTGTTTGGGGCAAGGCTGGTTCAGGCAGCTGCGTTTCCAACAACATCACCTCAACTGGCCTGCCCTGTGTTTTTGTGGCTCTCTGCAACCAAGCTGCCCGTGAAGACCCACCCTCTGTGCTGTGGAGGGGCCCTGGGAGCCCATGCAGTGTGGGTGCTGTCACTGGTCTGCGCAGGGGCCCTTGGTGTGTTTGTGGCCTGCTGGGACCTCACAGTGAGGGTTTTGTGCTGCTGCAGCTGAAACTTGGCTCTTGAAGCCGCTTTCTGGGGTATTAACCCTCTGTGCAGTGCTGTGACAGATGCCATGGGTGCGGAGGAAACAGGGCCAGGTCACTGTGCTCCTCCCAAGGGGTGATTTGTGGTTTGGTTTACCAGTTGTCTTTCTTCCCGACAGCCTGCTCTTCTGTACCTGGTCCCCGCATGCATCGGATTCCCACTTCTTGTGGCCTTGGCAAAGGGAGAAGTAACTGAAATGTTCAGGTGAGCGTCAGCTGGGGACGGAGCTGTTTTGCCCCCAGCACTGGAGCGCATGAAGCGTGCAGATGTTCCCACGCCTGGGCACAGCTGGGGGGACGGGTTCATCTGGGCATGCTCTGGGTGTGCGTGTGCATGTGCGTGGGTGGAGGGAGTGGATCTGTGTTTGTACACGCCGGCCCTGGCTCCAGCCACCCCCTTGTAGCCGGGTGGGAGCTTTGGTGCAGTACCAACAGGCAGGCAGCATCTGGTATTGCTTTACGCCCTGGTGACAAACTCTTCCCGTGCGCTGGCAGGTAGGGGAGGGTGGGACCGCACACCTGGTGCTGAGATACTTGGTCATTGTATCCCAGGGCCCGTGGGTGGGGAGAACAGAGCTGAATCCAGCTCTGAGAGGAGCCAGGGCTGGTTTGAGCACATCCCAGCCTCCCCGCTCGAGTAAAGTATCCTGGTTTGCAGCAGTCTCCCTGCCCCCAGGATTGTAGGTGCAGAGAAAGGGGGCTTTGCTGTGCTGTTGTGCTCCAGCCCTTCTCTCAGCCTGCCATGCTCCAGGCATTTGCCTGTTTGCTGTTGGGGGCAGCTTTGGTCTCCTGCCTGGACTGTCCCCTCTGAGCCGTGCAGAGCATGGCCTGGCTTGCCTGGGAGCTGTTTCTCCACTGTGCTCGGCCGGTTGTGCTCAAGGTGCTCGGTGGTGGCCTGGTGCGGTTGCTTGTTTGAGGACGGCTGAAGCAGAGGAGGGAAGGGAACATCCATCCCAAAGCAGGACAGTGCACCCCCCAGCCTCCCCGCTCCAGGGGTGCCCCTGCCCATGAGGGCCTGCCTGAGCCCCCAGCTTACTCAGAGGGAAACCAGCACCCGACTGGGGCACAGTGGGGAGCCGGTTTGCCCTTCCTTCCTCCCCCTCCCCTGGGAGATGCAGGTATGTGTGTTCCCACCAGGCTGTCAGCTGGGCCAGCTCCCCAGCCCTGCCGCACCTGCCCCTCCTTTGATGTTTGCTTCTGACGATCGCTGCTGCAGGCGCTGAGTGTCCTGGGATCGTCCTTCCTGTGCACCTGGGATCCTGCAGCCGCTCTCCCCGGTGCCGTGACTCACCAGCTGACAGCAGCACTGCCTCCCGCGCCAGGAAACTGGGGAAACTGGGGAGAGGCGAGCTGCGAGTCCAGCCTGCCTGGTAGCAAGGCGTCCGGGGAGCCTGGCAGCCGGGCACCGGGGTCTAGTGCCACCGCAGAGCATTAGCACAAGCTGCTCCAGCAGCAAAGCGCTGCCCGCTGTTGTTGGCTGAGTCCTGCCAGGGCAAATGCAGGAGGCTGGGGGGTTTGCAACCTTGATGGGCTCTGGGGTCCAGCCACCCTTCAAGTCGCACCGGTTGCAGGCAGAGGAAGTGGGACACGATGAGACTCATGCCTGGAGGGCAGTGGCTCCCACCGCAGGAATCCCACCAAGGCGTAGCTGCCCTGTGCGGCTTCGGTGCACCCTGATCCTCCCCACGGTGATGGCAGCCCGGAGCTGGCAGTTCTCCTGTGGTCTCTGCCTGCTGGCTGCCTCCACGCAGCAAGCTGCCTGCACGTGGTGTCTCGCAGCAGCCATCAGCTGCCCTGGGAGAGGGCAGCGAGGGTCTGATGCAGCAGCGAGTACAGGCAGTGCTGCAGGGAGGGTGGGAGCAAGCAGATCTGAGCTGCGAGCCCGGGGAAGGGGTGCCTGTGGAGCAGAGGTGGGTGATATCGGGATCGGTTTTGCAGCTCCCAGCCTTGACAAGCCTCTCTAGGCAGGCGGTAACCTTCGCTCTGCCTCTGTCAGCAATGGAAAGCCCGTCCTGCCGCTCACCCCTGCTGCAGACGTGCTGTCCTTGAACAGCAGGAAAGGGTCTGCTGCGTCAGTGTGCTGCATGCACAGCCCCTGGGCCACTCCACCGCTGCCTTCCCAGTGCTCAGGCTTGCTCTCCTGTGGGCTCCAGCTGCCTGGCTCTACCCAGACTGGTGGTAGCTGCCTTCTCCCTGGGTCTCAGGCCTTGTTCTTCCATGCTGCAGCCCTGCCTGGGGTCTGCAGGCAAGGGGGGTGCAGGCATGAGCTTGTCAGCACGGCCCCAGGGCCACCCCAGCCTGAGCTAGCGGGTGCTGGCAGCCAGAGGGGACAGCAGGCTGCCTGCGCAGGGTGGTGAGTTTGCAGCAGTCTCACTCCAAAACTCTTCTGCTTTTTTTTCTCTCTCCCCGCCTCTCTTCTCTGTCCTCGTCTTCCCCCTTTCCCCTCCTGCTTCCTCTCTCTCCTGCAGCTATGAATCCTCTGCTGAAATCTTGCCACACACACCAAGACTTACCCACTTCCCCACCGTGTCCGGCTCGCCGGCCAGCCTTGCTGATTCCATGCAGCAGAAACTGTCCTGTCCCCGCCGACGCCGGCAGCAAAGCCCTAGTGCCATGTAGCAATCGCACGCGGTGCCCTTTCTGTCTGTCGCTCTGGCCAGGTAGGGGCTGGTCCCAGCTCTCTCCGGGCAGAGGCAGTAGCTGTCGCCTCACTGCTGCAGGCCAGCTTCTCTCCCTGTCTGACAGGAGACTGTGAAGGGAGAGAGGATTTGCCATCTCTGCCCTTGTTGTGCTTCGTGTTGGAAGGCAGCTTTCCTGGGTTTCCTTTGCCAGGGCCCTGGGGCTGGTGCTGGTGGGTTTGCAGCCAGACGAGCAAGACCCTGGAAGTGGTGGTGGTCGGGGTGTCACTGCTGTTGGTATTGCTGTGGCTCCCCCCGCTAACCAGCCTTGCTGGCACCAGCACTCAGCCTGGCAGTGTGGGGGGGGGGAAGTGTGGTGCTATCCAGGATATCTGATGGTGATCTCGGGAGCAAGGACAGACCCCTGGGCACAGAGCTGGCCCAATGGCTTGGCTGGGGGAAGCCCCAGCCCCTGGCTGGATCCACCCCATCCATCCCTGGAGGTGTCTGGGGGGGTGTCACAGTGCTTGTCTCCCCACCTGGGCTTCCACCCCGTTGGGCTTTCTGCACTGGGGGGCCAATGGCTAGAGCCCCCCCATCCTTGGCATGGCCTGGCTAGTGCAGCAGGGGAGACCCCAAGCCTGTGGTCCCAGGCTGGGCTGTCCCCACCTGGCACAGGTCTCTTGTCCCCGGAGAAGGTCTGGCCCCACTCACTCCTCCCTCCTGTCTTTCTCGTCCCCAGCTACGAGGAGAGCTCTACCCCCAAGGAGGTGCCGGGGGCCTCCAAAGAAGAGACGACAGAAGCCTCCAAGAAGGAGAAGTGACTTTGCCCATGGGCCATGCCCGGCACTGCTGGGCTGGGGCCCTTCCAGACCCTCCGCAAGTGACAGACGACGAAACAATTGTGCAAGAGCATCGTGTTGTGTGTGTCGGAGCAGCCACCCAGGTGGGGTATCGATGTATGCCGCATAGCCACCCCCTGCCGGCCCCCCAGGGCCGCACCGCCGCCCCCCCGCCTGTTTATCTCTTATGGGGGTACAAGGTGGGTGGGGGGGGCAAACCACAGGCCGGTTTTTAAATTTTGTATTGTGCATTTGCTTTCTCTCATATTAAACCATGTCGAAGGAAAGACTGCTGGTCTGGCAGTGCCCCTGGAGCTGTGCCGGCAGCCCTCGCCATGGCCACTTGCTCCAGCTTGTAGCCCCTGCTCAGCTGCCTGGCTGGGATCAGCATCCCAGCTCACCAGCAGCCTCGTTTTCCCTGTGGGGCCCGTGGCCGTTGTCTGGCTGTTTCCAAGTGACCGTCCCCTTCCCCCTCCTGCTTGTCCAGCACTCAGCCTTCCCCCAGCCAGCCTCAGCCTGGCCCCCCCTCCTTGCAACACCCAGATTTAGGGCTGTGGTCACTGACCCCCGGCCTGTGCTCGGGTGGGTTTGAGCCGGGGTCTGGCCCTGGAGCGGGTGGGTGGGTGAGCGGGAATTGGGGCACAGGAACCCAGCAGGATGGGGACATGCTCTGCCTTGGCTGCACGGGGGGGTTCAGAGAGCTGGGGCTGAGTCCCCACAGCCTGGGGGAGCGGGCATGGGAGGGAAAGAGCCCGGTGACCCCAAACTGAGCCCCAGAGCGGGTTGAAGAGAGCGCAGGCTCTCCCCCCTCCTTGCAGGGAGCCAGGCACCCACCTGCACCCACTGGGGCTGGGACAGGCAGGGAGGGCTCCAGCAGCCGCCTCGGCTCCCGCTGGGGCCGGCTGCCGCGTGTCCTGCAGCACCGGCTGTGTCCTCCCTGCCCACCCTCGGGGCAGGCGTGCGGAGGATCCTGCATCCCTCCGGCCATGCCCACTGCCAGAATAAATAGAGAGTGTTTGCCGGCTTGGCAGCCCCTCCACAAAAGCCGTATTGAACCATTATTCCCCACGTCGGCTGCGAGCACTAAAAGTGGCGCCTCGTGTTCTGCCATCTAATGACCCTTCGCAGTCTCCTACAGATGTTTTCTATGACTTACAGCTCCTTTTCCAACAGCCCTGTCCGCAAAAACAAGAGGGGCCACTTTAATTCCAATTAAATACCTCCAGCTAAGCAAACAGTGTGCAGCAGGGCTTGGGTATGGTGTGGCCGCCAGGCCCGGCCCATGGAGTCGCTGAGTCTAGACTCCAGATGTGATTTCACCAGCCTCCAGTGTCCCATGGAAAACGACGCTGGCTCTGCCGTGGGGCACAGCACCCTGCCCCAAGCCAGGGCCCCACTCACCGCCACGGCGTGATGGTGCATGCTCTCCCGGTGCGGCTCTGGCACCGCATCCCGTGAGGCTCTGCATCCTCCCTGGCTTTGGGGGGTGGGAGCCTGATGCCACCCTGGCCTCCCACCCGTCCCCTTGCAGCCTCTGGACCCTCTGAGCGTGCAGGAGCAGGCTGGGGGTTGCACATGGTACCCCAGCACTGGCATCATCCTGCCTCCCTGCTCCCCATCAGAGCTTGGGGCAGCTCGTGCCAGCTGTACGTGCAGTGGGAGTGCGGCAGCGAGCCAGGAGCTTTCCTGGGGCTGCGGGGAGCGGAAGGTCTGGGGAGGGGAGAGCAGGGTCACCCCTCGCCCTGCCTAGCCGATAAGCCAGGGCTGGGCTGGAAGGAAGGAAGCGTGCTGGGCCCTGCAAGGAGCCGCCAGCGGAGCCGGCGCCTCGGTGGCCCCGGGTTTCGCTCGCCCGCTGCACCTGGACCCTGTGGCATCTCCGCTCCCAGCACCGCCGTGGCCACACGGCTCCGCTCTGTCTGGGCTGCCGCTGGGCCACCTTCCCCTCGCCGAGGGGGTCCCTCCGGCTTGGGGAGGGGGGAGCTGCGGAAACACGAATGCACCAGCTCTGGCAGGAAACCTCCATCCACGGAGCTGCGTCCAGCCGGGGAAGGGACCGGAGACAGCCTGCCCCGCTGCTGGCAGCCGTGGGGTTTGGGGTGATCCCCCCTGCCTGTGGCCCCCTCAGGGCACTGATGTAGGTGCCCGCTGGCAAGGGGAGTCCCTGGGCAGCCTGCCCTCATGCCAAGCTCCTGCCAGGGATTGCAGCAAGGTGGGATGGGCTGAGTTGGGGGTGCACGGGGGGCACCCCTGGGTGCAAATGCCAGGCAGTGGGATGGTGCAGTTTCATGGATGGGGAGTGCTGGTGCCTGGGACAGGAGGGGGGACACTGGGGCTGTTTGTCCCCAGAGCCCTGCAGAGCCTCCCCATCACGGACGGGAGCGCAGCCGATGGGATCGGTGCTGGGTGCTGCGGTTCCCAGTACGGCACCTTGTGCCCCACCGTGCAGAGCCGGGCATGCCCGGCCGTGGTGGGGGTGCCAGCAGTGAGACCTGGGGTCCTGCTGGGTGGTGGGTGCTGGCAGTGGCGCCCGGCCGGCGGCTGCGAGCTGGGGAGAGGAAGCAGTGGAGAGCAACCCCAGCCCCGGCCGGCCGGCGAGGAGGGGCAGGAAGCTGGAATAAATCCCAGGAAGGGCTGCCTGGCTCCAGCTGGTCTGGCCTGCAGCGGATGGAGCCGGGAACGGGAAGGCAGAAGGCGGGAGGGGAACGCGCAAGGGCTTTCTCAGGCCTCGGCCACGCTCCAGCTGTGCTGGCGGCCCCCGGCTCACATCTGCAGCCGCAGCTCGGCACCGTCCCGCGGGCACGGGGAGCTGGAGGCTCTGCGCAGCCCCAGGGCAGAGGCGTGCGTGTCCCCAGGGCCGATCATGGGGTGAGGGACATGGATGGAGCCCAACCCCAGCCAGGGCAGGAGCAGCCCAGGTTTGGGGGTCCCGTTCACTGCAGGGGGGGCCCAGCCTGATCCGTGGTGTCCGCGCTGCCTTCCCTCCTCCTGCTCGCAGCCCTGCGGAGCCCTGCGTGCCGGAGCACGAGGCTGGGTGCTGCCGGGTCTGGGGTGCCGGCTGGCCCCCATCATCGCCTCTGCACAAGTAGCCCCCGGCGGCCCCTCGCCGGCCTGGCGTGGCCGTGCCCTGTG